TCTATTGTTGTGTCCCAGAAACATTCCTTCCTTACTTACTAATTTCCTTCCTTCTTCCTTTACTTCTTTCCTACCTTCCTTCTTTCCTACCTTCCTTCCTTCCTTCCTTCCTTCCTTCCTTCCTTACTTACAGTGCCTTGTGAAAGTATTCGGCCCCCTTGAACTTTTCAACCTTTTGCCACATTTCAGGCTTCAAACATAAAGATATATAAAAAATTTTTTTTTTTTTTTAAGAATCAACAACAAGTGGGACACAATCGTGAAGTGGATTGACATTTATTGGATGTGTCAAACTTTTTTAACAAATAAAAAACTGAAAAGTGGGGCGTGCAATATTATTTGGCCCCCTTGCGTTAATACTTTGTCGCGCCGCCCTTTGCTGCAGTTCCAGCTGCAAGTCTCTTGGGGTATATCTCAGGTAGGCCCACCAGATCTGACAGCAAGCTGGATCCAGGTGGATGGGTCAGTATCTGTGGCCAGATTCTTTGAAGTCACTGCAGGAGATCCTTCCTGCCCACAGCTCAGCATCTATAACAACTCTTGAACGAAACCAAGATGATGAGCTACAACAACACTTAATTTCCCTCTGGGATTATTAAGGTATTTTTGAATTGAATTTTAATTGAATTGAATTGTATGTCTCTATCAGTTTTGCACATGGACACACTGAAGTTCTGCCCATTCTTCCTGCAGAACAGCTGGAGCTCAGTGAGGTTGGATGGAGAGCGTTTGTAAACAGCAGTCTTCAGCTCTTTCCACAGATTCTGGATTGGATTCAGGTCTGGACTTTGACTTGGCCATTCCAACACCTGGATACGTTTATTTGTGAACCATTCCATTGTAGATGTGTCTTTATGTTTTGGATCATTGTCTTGTTGGAAGATAAATCTCCGTCCCAGTCTCAGGTCTCTTGCAGACTCAAACTGGTTTTCTTCCAGAATGGTCCTGTATTTGGCTCCATCCATCTTCCCATCAATTCTGACCATCTTCCCTGTCCCTGCTGACGAAAAGCAAGCCCAAACCATGATGCTGCCACCACCATGTTTGACAGTGGGGATGGTGTGTTCAGGGTGATGAGCTGTGTTGCTTTTACTCCAAACATATCGTTTTGCATTGTGTCCAAACAGTTTGATTTTGGTTTCATGTGACCAGAGCACCTTCTTCCACATGTTTGGTGTCTCCCAGGTGACAAACTTTAAACAACACTTTTTATGGATATCTTTGAGAAATGGCTTTCTTCTTGCCACTCTTCCATAAAGGCCAGATTTGTGCAGTGTACGACTGATTGTTGTCCTATGGACAGACTCTCCCACCTCAGCTGTAGATCTCTGCACTTCATCCAGAGTGATCATGGGCCTCTTGGCTGCATCTCTGATCAGACTTCTCCTTGTTCCAGATGAAAGTTTAGAGGGACGGCCGGGTCTTGGTAGATTTGCAGTGGTCTCATACTCCTTCCATTTCAATATGGTTGCTTGCACAGTGCTCCTTGGGATGTTTAAAGCTTGGAAAATCTTTTTGTATCCAAATCCGGCTTTAAACTTCTCCACAAAAGTATCTCGGACCTGCCTGGTGTGTTCCTTGGTCTGCATGATGCTCTCTGAGCTTTGAACAGAACCCTGAGACCATCACAGAGCAGGTGCATTTATACGGAGACTTGATTACACACAGGTGGATTCTATTTATCATCATCAGTCATTTGGGACAACATTGGATCATTCATAGATCCTCACTGAACTTCTGGACTGAGTTTGCTGCACTGAAAGTAAAGGGGCCCAATAATATTGCACGCCCCACTTTTCAGTTTTTTATTTGTTAAAAAAGTTTGACACATCCAATAAATTTCATTCCACTTCACGATTGTGTCCCACTTGTTGATTCTTCACAAAAAATTAAAATTTTATATCTTTATGTTTGAAGCCTGAAATGTGTCAAAAGGTTGAAAAGTTCAAGGGGGCCCAATACTTTCACAAGACACTGTACTTCTTTCCTTTCTTCTTTCCTTACTTATTTCCTTTCTTGCTTTCTTCCTTATTTCTTTCCTTTCTTCCTTCCTTGCTTCCTTCCTTACTTATTTCCTTCCTTAGTTCCTTCCTTCCTTACTTCATTACTTCTTACCTTACTTCCTTCCTTTCTTCCTTCATTCCTTTCTTCCTTCCTTTTTTCCTTTCTTCCTTCTTTGCTTCCTTCCTTACTTATTTCCTTCATTCCTTTCTTCCTTCTGTTCTTCCTTCCTTCTTTCCTTTCTTCCTACCTTGCTTCCTTCCTTCCTTCCTTCCTTACTTACTTCATTACTTCTTACCTTACTTTCTTCCTTTCTTCCTTCCTTGCTTCGTTCCTTATTTATTTCCTTCATTCCTTTCTTCCTTCCTTTCTTCATTCCTTGCTTCCTTCCTTACCTTCCTTCCTTATTTCCTTCATTCCTTTCTTCCTTCCTTCTTTCCTTTCTTCCTTCCCTACTTCTTTCCTTTCTTCTTTGCTTCCTTCCTTCCTTATTTCCTTCCTTGCTTCCTTCATTCCTTTCTTCCTTCCTTACTTATTTGCTTCCTTTCTTCCTTCCTTATTTCCTTCATTCCTTTTTTCCTTGCGTCCTCCTTTCCTTTCTTCCTTGCTTCATTCTTTACTTATTCCCTTCCTTCCTTCCTTCCTTCCTTCCTTCCTTCCTTCCTTCCTTCCTTCCTTCTTTCCTTCTTTACTTACAAACCGGATTCTAAAAAAGTTGGGACACTAAACAAATTGTGAATAAAACTGAATGCAATGATGTGGAGATGGCAAATGTCAATATTTTATTCGTAATATAACATAGATGACAGATCAAAAGTTTAATCTGAGTAAATGTAACATTTTAAAGGAAAAATATGTTGATTCAAAATTTCAGTGTCAACAAATCCCCAAAAAAAGTTGGGACAAGTAACAATAAGTGGCTGGAAAAAGGAAATTGAGCATATAACGAACAGCTGGAAGACCAATTGACACTAATTAGGTCAATTGACAACATGATTGGGTATAAAAAGCTTCTCAGAATGTCAGTGTCTCTCAGAAGCCAAGATGGTAAGAGGATCACCAATTCCACCATTGTTGCGCAGAAAGATAGTGCAGCAATACCAGAATGGTGTTACCCAGCGTAAAATAGCAAAGACTTTTAAGTTATCATCATCAACCGTGCATAACATCATCAAAAGATTCAGAGAATCTGGAACAATTGCTGTGCGTAAGGGTCAAGGCCGTAAAACTCTACTGGATGCTCGTGATCTCCGGGCCCTTAAACGTCACTGCACCTCAAACAGGAATGCCACTGTCAAGGAAATAACAGAATGGGCTCAGGAATACTTCCAGAAAGCATTGTCAGTGAACACAATCCACCGTGCCATCCGTCGTTGCCAGCTGAAACTCTACAGTGCAAAGAGAAAGCCATTTCTAAGCAAGCTCCACAAGCTCAGACGTTTGCACTGGGCCAGGGGTCATTTGAAATGGAGTGTGGCAAAATGGAAGTTTGTTCTGTGGTCAGATTAGTCACGATTTGAAGTTCTTTATGGAACACTGGGGCACCATGTCATCCGGACCAGAGAGGACAAGGATAGCCCAAGTTGTTATCAACGCTCCGTTCAGAAGCCTGCATCACTGATATATGGGGTTGCATGAGCACTTGTGGCATGGGCAGCTTGCATGTCTGGAAAGGCACCATTAATGCAGAGAACTATGTTCAGGTTCTAGAACAACATATGCTCCCATCTAGACGTCATCTCTTTCAGGGAAGACCCTGCATTTTTCAACACGATAATGCCAGACCACATTCTGCAGCAATCACAACATCATGGCTACGTAGGAGAAGGATCCGGGTACTGAAATGGCCAGCCTGCAGTCCAGATCTTTCACCTATAGAGAACATTTGGTGCATCATAAAGAGGAAGGTGCGACAAAGAAGGCCCAAGACGATTGAACAGTTAGAGGCCTGTATTAGACATGAATGGGAGAGCATTCCTATTTCTAAACTTGAGAAACTGGTCTCCTCTGTCCCCAAACGTCTGTTGAGTGTTGTAAGAAGAAGGGGGGATGCCACACAGTGGTAAAAATGGACTTGTCCCAACTTTTTTGGGATTTGTTGACGTCATGAAATTTGGAAACAACAGATTTTCCCCTTAAAATGAAACATTCTCTCAGTTTAAACTTTTGATCTGTGATTTATGTTCTATTCTGAATAAAATATTAGATGTTGGCACCTCCACATCATTACATTCAGTTTTTATTCACAAAGTGGTTAGTGTCCAAACTTTTTTGGAATCCGGTTTGTACATACTTCATAACTCCTTCCTTCCTTACCTCCTTCCTCACTTCTTCCCTCCCTCCCTCCCTCCCTCTTCTTTTTTGAGTCGTGGGGTTTGCTCAACTTTGGTTTGTGATGAAGTCTTTATTATGCAGCATCCTGTAAAGTGGGTTAACCAGCAGCTGCAAAAGCATTTAAATATGTTTAAACATATAAACAATAACGTTTCAAAAGACTTCAAAACAAGTGAAATTCTTCTTCTTTAAAGTATAATAAGTGAAGACTTTCACTTAGGTGCTTTATTTGTCTTGGTGAAGTGATAACCTGTAGTCATATACTGCACATAAAGGCAAAATTATTAAGCAACAACTTTTCACCAATTGGTTCCTTTCATCTGATGGTCTCAAGCACATCTCTCTTTTTACAGCCCCTCTTATTTCAGAGATGCAAACAAAGATGCTTTTTTTTTTTTTGATGAAAAAACACCAAATGTAAGCCACAATACTGCATTTTTGTCCACTTGGACACCTGCAACCTTACACATGTTTTTTTACCCCAAATGGTGCAGGGCTGTTTGAGGGAGAATGAAGCGTCACAACATTACTGCTCTTTATGGATGGATGTTAGTAATTTTCACACATTCTGAGGAAGCGGCTAACTTTATGTATGTTACGGTTGGAAAAAGGTTACAAAGCTTCCCATGATTAATCTAAACGTTTGACTGTTTCTGTGTTCCCAGGATGAAGGACACCAGCAAGAAGAACAACATCTTCTCCCAGTTCAGGAAGAATGACAGAGACAAGCAGAAGCTGATAGAGACTGTAGTCAAACAGCTGAGGAGCCTCGTGAATGGCATGTCCTCCTAACAACACACACAAACGTGATGTGGACCAGATATTATAAGTGGAACATGCATGCAGTCACATGCACAAATCGGACTGCCAAGAAAATTCACAGAAGTACATTTTAACATATATGAAGTGGTTACAACACACAAAACTACACACATTCAGATGGAAGGAACACACAAATATGAGTCACATACTTAAACACTTTACGTCAGTGGTTCTCAAACTGTGGGGCGTGGTGCATGACCACTATTTTCATTTTATTTCATTTTCATTTTCATTAGAAGAACTAATGTTGAGATGCTGTTGTGACAGACCATAGAAGAGCCTGGGCAGTGTAGAGCGTGGGTCCAGTCCTTGTGGTTCAGTCAACGTATGTCTCAAATACATGATGAGTAGAGAAGTAAGGCTGGATCCATACTCCACAAGAGTTCAGAAAATCTGCCAACAGATACTCAGAGAACTTGCAAAAAGTCATTTTTGGCTCCTGAACACCTGGAATGAGTCCTCGGGGCAGAACCAGAACCTGCTGGATGGACTTTATGTCATCTCTGGCCTTTTAAAATTATTTATATCCATGTTTGAGCCATCACAGGCTGATGAAGGTTCTGCTTTATTTTTTATTTGTTCTTTCTTTTGATCCACGATTAGTTGTAAAGGTAGACTTTATTTGAGAAATATTTATTTTAGATGTAAAAACAATACAGTAAAAATATTGTAGGCTGTTCAGTTTTTATAAATTTAAATAAAATATTGTCACATGGACGTCGCCATGTTGTTTACACTGCAATGCATTCTGGGTAAATGATGTATGCTAGGTCCTGTCGTGCTAGCTTTGTCCAGCCACAACAGCTTTGAGTAACGTTACTCCTTTTCAGTTTGAACCGGAGCGCGTTGAACTTGATGTCAATGTAGAGCTCACAAGGAGTAAAGAACATGAGGAGCACCAAACGGATGAAGAGGAAAGATTTGGCCAAAGAAGCTGTTGTTTGCATAAATGTGCTCCGTTGTTAGTGCGTAAAGTACGTCTTCTGACCACTGTACTGCTGCATCTTATGTGCTGACAACGGTTTGTGCTTCAGCATTTGTAGTTGAAGAAAACTGTAATAAAGATTGTTGTATTATTAATATACATACAACAATGCTATCTTAAAATTGTGAAATAATAACAATAATAAATTAAACATGAAGCTGAAGTTGGCTTCCGATTGCAGCTTCCGATTCGGAAAATGGCTAAAGGGGGATTCCACCTAATTTTTCACTACCATGAGAATCTTTAATCTGTTCTAGTTTAAAGACTAAAATACTTAACCTGGACTAGATTATTCTACACTAATAGCAGAATAATTAAAACCTTGTCTGTGATTTGTCAAACCTTTGTGAAATTTCAATAAAGGGCGATTCCAACACTTTTTTTGAATAATTTGAGCAGAATTAAAAGTCAAAATAGGCAAATGTGTGTTTGTGTGTGGGTTAGGGGTCTCCATAATGAAACAAGTCTCAGTTAAACACAAAAGCAAAACTTCAAATTTGTAAAATTGAACAGCTTTTTTTTATTCTAGAGATTTGAACATCTCTATTTCTGCTCTCAGTTGCATGAGAAGCTCCTCTCTCTCGCTGCAACAAGACATTTTGAATCATTTGAAATGTTTTCTTCTTTTTTTAATATATGATCATTTTGGTCACATAAACTAGAACAGATTAAAAATTAGCTGGAATTGCCCTTTAGCCATTTCAAAAATCAGAAGCAAACTTCAGCTTCATAAATGAAATGATGAATGAACACGTACCGCTGGTCAGACTGTGATCCAGTGAGTAGATGACGTGCTCTATGTCTAGTGTCAGGTCCGGTAGCACCTGGGTCTGGTCTTTGGTCTGGTGTCACATCCATGATTTTACATTCAGTACCAGCGGCAGTGGGAATAGCTAGAGCTTCCAGCGTTGCCTGTCTGATTCTTTTCCCGGCATCTTTTGCTCGCAAGCCGGCAGCAGGGGTTTAGACGCTTTGTGGTTAAAAATGTTCGGCCCGGCATTCAATTTTATCTTTTGTGGGTAATTACCACCTGTCAGCTCCTTCAAAGTCTTCTGGAGAGAAGTGCTGAGAGCACGAATGTGGTTCCTTCAGAAGTTTTATTCTTCCAACGGCTTTTTCCCATGGTGCTCTTCTTTGTTTTCGTGTGGGAAGTGGTGCACACAGGTGTACAGGTGCACACTCACCTCACTATTTCTGCCTTTTTCTGTTTTGAAATTACAGCCAACAGCGACGCAGTGAGGCATTATCTAAATTTACACCAGTTAAACGCAACTTACAAAAACAACTCGGGTAATGTTAGCCTTCCTGTGTTTACTCTGTAGATACCAGTACAGAATGGACCCAACTGTGTTATCAACCCAGCATGTTGCGCAGGTGAAACAATGGTGGCCTCCATGGCTGAAAAATATAACAAAAGATAGAACATTTTTGAAGTAATTATGAGTTTTTACACATCACAAACAGCAATTTTTAAGTTAATAGGAAAAACACAACTTATTTAGGCCAACATGTTCAACTAATCATGGATCCCTTTAAACTAAATAAAAACACTCCAAATATCAGTCCAGTGACAAAAATGTCACGACTATGAGAAAATCTAAAAGAATTGTGTTAATGTAGAGTTTTTCTTTTATATTTTTTAGTGAACTTTATTCCCTGGCTTTAGTTTGACGGTGTCGAGTGGGACATTAAAGTTTGAGAACGACTGTTTTACACAACACACACACACACACACACACACACACACACACACACACAAAGACTCGTGTCTCATTATACCTACATGATCATTTAATGAAAGTGACTTGTACACTCCAAACCAATTACTGGACTCTGCAGGAATGATGAGTACATTTTGATATTTTATTTATTTTTATTTGTTAAAACTGAATTTTATTTCAGTTTCTGGCTATAATGAGACAAACTGTTTTGTACATTATGCGAGAGTGGAAGGATTGTTGCTGTACAGCGCAAGAAGTGACAGACCCGTGTATTGGGACAGTGAGGTCAAAGGTCACATTTTACTGCACTGAAACAGGCATTAGCATCTTAATGATTCCCCACCTGATTTTAATATTTGCATTTCATTATTAAGAATAAAGCGCAGCATCATTAAGGACCAGTACGTGAGCATTAAACTAGTCTGATTACTGTTCAGTGAGTTTCTGTTTTTCCACAGCTTTGGAAAAACACAAAAAAACCCCATCAAAATTAGCAGCTCAATTATCAATTGTGTGGCATGACTTTATAATTATAGTTCTTAAAAATATGGAATTGCCACTCTGAGGATGGGCTTTCAGTTCTTTTGTATATAAAAAAAATCAAGAGTTGTGTTGAAACTCATTTCAAAATTCCGACCTTCTTGCATTAAGAAGCAATAAAAAAGACCAATATATAATTATTGTGGCCAGTCACAGTTGTTTTATATCAAGCAGAGGGAAAACATATGGAATCATGAGAAAAGCACAGCTCCTTTAGTAATCTGGTTTTTAGAGCAGCTCGAGTTCTGTGAGATGTGGACCTAACTAACGACAAACAGCGCCTGACTCCAACTGTCTCCTCCTGCTGTTGTGAGATCATGTCTTCCTTGAGAGAAAGGTTTCATGTTTGCTCTATTAAAAGATGCATTCATCATTTAGAAAAATGAAGTCATCCTCACCAAACGTCCTTTCAACTGACGGAGTAAGAAGTGTCCAAAATGAAATGTAGACTGGTGTATCTGTTGTAGGTGGAATCACTGCCATCGCCCCCAGGCCTGGACCTGACAGGACACTTTCATCCAGTCCCCAGCAGTCCATGATGGCTTTGCTTTAGCACCACTGTCGAGGTTTCCTCTGGCCTTTCTTCATGTAAAACTTGTTAAACCTGAACCTGGAGGCCATTTCTTACAGTTCAGTCACAGATGTTGACTCCAGTTTCCACCCAGTTGTTTTGTTGTACATTTTCTGTTTTCAAGGCAGTTTCCATCTTGAAGCTTGGATGCATCGACAAGTGTACTTCCCTTTTACAACCTCTCCATCTTGTTTGGACTCTGTCCAGATTTTAGACACAACCATCTGGCAACAACCAACATCTTCTGCAACATTTTGCGATGATTGATCCTCTTGAAGAGGTTTCATTATCCTCCCCTTTGTTTCAACATGTTGGAGCCATGATATGTGTGAATCTGCTTTGTGCTTCAGCTCTTCAAGTTGTGAGCTGCTTTTTAACTGAAGGCTCATGAGCAGATTTAATCTAATGATCGTTTCAGAACTGCAAATAATTGAGTGATTCTGTTTTCTTTTTCTATACTTGATCTAAAGAAAAATGCAGCTGTGACTAACTATAGATACATTTCTTCTTATTGTTCACTGCCTATAGTTGTTTTTTTTTTTCCATACAACATTCAAACAATTGACCAAACGTACTCCAAGAGAAGTGACTTCATAATTTTTGCCAGGGTTTGTATGCCAGTTCTTCAGTTCTTGTCTGAAGTGGCATTAAAATCTTAAATGTTTTTTAAAAAAATCAAAGTTTAAAATGTTTTGATTTTACCACGGGTCCTCGTTTAAACGTTTAAAACCATGAATTTCACATTTACAGTCACAGAAGAAATCAGTGTTGCTGTAAAATCAGTTTGTGAAGCAGCACCTACAATAAACTCACTGTCCCAGTGGTTCAGCGGTCAGAGCGACGAGTGTTTGAAAAGTGATCGGTGCTGAACTCACACGTGGTTGAGAAGTAAAATCATGAATGATGATGTCGTAAAGACTGATGTTCAATAAAAAAGTGATGTTTTAATGAATTCCATGATTGTTTGGATTACTTGTGTTTTTACTGCACATCATACATATGAATGACCCCATACAGACACTGAAACAGGTCTCGCTCTCTCTCTCGCTCTCTCTCACTCTCTCTCTCTCTCTCTCCAGCACTTTGAGTTATTGTTTTATACGCTATTTTAATTGCATTTTTATTATTCTTAATACACTGCAATGAGTTGCTTCTCATTTCTTAAACAACCGTGTTGAAAGACATCGTGTGGTCGTGGAAAATATGTCAGTCTGTTTGAGAAGGGTCAAATCGTTGGCATTAAGCTGAGAAAACATCTAAGGAGATTGAAGAAACTACTAAAATTGGGTTAAGAACTGTCCATTGCATTATTAAAAACTGGAAGGATAGTGGGGACCCATCGTCTTTGAGGAAGAAATGCAGCCAGAAAAAAAAGTGGCCTACTGTACAAGTCTGTGGGGGCAGTGCTATGATGTGGGGTCGCTGCAGTTGGTCAGGTTTATGTTCAGCAACATTACAGTGGGGAGAACAAGTATTTGATACACTGATTTTTCAGGTTTTCCCACTTGCAAAGCTTGTAGATGACTGTAATTTTTATCATAGGTACTCTTCAACTGTGAGTGATGGAATCTAAAACAAAAATCCAGAAAAATACAATGTATGATTTTTAAATAATTAATTTCCATTGTATTGTGTGAAATAAGTATTTGATCATCTATCAACCAGTAAGAATTTTGGCTCTCACAGACATGTTAGTTCTTCTTTAAGAAGCCCTCCTGTTCTCCACCCATTACCTGTATT